TGTGTGGTTAAAAATTGAAGAAAAATTTTGAGTTTGCGTGTAATATTATTTTATTGAAAAATGTGTGACTGAAACTAAGAAAAAAATATATTTTAAAAATAGTGGAGACCACACAAGGGCATCATCTACCGTTTCAATACTCGAATCCACACTCCCAAAAAATTAGACCGTTATCCTAACAAGTATTAAATCATTTTAGGAACAATTTGATTCTATTTTCAAAATTTTAATCCTTGATGGAGAAGTTATTATTGGGTGAATCAAGAAACGACCTTAATTTCTCAAAAAATGTAATTTAATTACGGAATATTAATTAATCATTGTGGGGTCACTATTTATTTTAAAAAATTATAATTAATTTAGTTAATCACTTTCAAATAGGGATGGCAAAATTTTCGACCCAACCTAGCCCAACCCCACCCTGATTAGCAAATGGGGTAGGGACGGGGATCATGATCATGCCCCAAATTTCTTAAATTCGCCTCCGATTTTATTTTATTTTTCAATTAAATCATATTTTAAATTTTAAATATATTATTAAAAATTAATTAAATAAAAAGAGGAGGCAAAAATGGAAATTTTTTATTCCCGTCACGCGTCCCGAAAATTCTCGACATGACGAAGATGGTAATGATCGCCTTCACTCCCAACCAACCCCATAGTCAACCCTACGTCTAAGTTCTAATGCAATATCATTGTAATATTACTCAAACATTATTTGAACTATTATACAAAAAATTGAAGAGTTTATTGAAACATGAGATAGAATGTGGATTTGACTATTCAGGTTCAGTATGATTCGATTCTTATTGACACGTTTGTGTGCGAAAGAGAATAACTATTTAGACCTAAAGGCTCGCCCAACCTAGACGCCACCCTATTGGTCTAGTTGTTCTGAAGATTTATCTGAACAAACTAAAAATTTAAATATTCAAATAAATAATTAGAGATTAGCCACAATAATATGATCGATAAAACATCAAAGTGAAATCATATTTTACAATAATTACAATAGATTAGTTGCTTTTTTGTCGTATGGGGTTGACTATACAAATGTCACTACATCATATACTCCCAACAACTTCTGAAAGCTAGCTAGTGACACTATTCTCCCCCTCTTAATTGGAATAAGCATTTGGTTAAGCTCAAAAAATGTTTAATAAATTTTAAAATTAAGTATATTTTGATAGTTATAAATAAGTGTACTACTTGACAATAAAGTGTGTGTTATTTTTCAAAAACTAAAGGCATGTTCTCTTTGTCGTTTTCGATTTTCGATTTTCGAAAACGTCCAAAACGCGTTCTCTTTCCTATTTTCGAAAAGGAGTTTTTGAAAATACAAAAAAAAAAATTGCACTGAAAACACAAAATGATGTTTTTAACGTTTTGGATGTTTTCTCTACAAAACTCGAAATTTTTTGAAAACGCTCAAAACACAGCGTACTGTTCCAAAATGACCATTTCTTCCCACAACCCAAATCCGATCTCTTCTTCCGTCTTCTCTCTTCTCCAGAAGAGAATAGCTGGCGATCTCCTTTTCTCTACAACCGGACGCTGCTGTTGGGCCGATGCCGGCGCCGGCGCCGGAGCCGGAATGGGGACTGGGTAGGCGACGCTGCTGTGAACACAGCGTCGCGAGCCATTCGTCGCGAC